CATTCTCAATATAAACTTTTTGCGAAAATGAACGTTCTACACTGTACATAATAATATACACAAAAACATTACTCGACTGTGATTGGTTGATTTCAGTGCAGTTAATCTCAAACAAGACTAGCAAAACTTACATATTTGAGTGCCGGCCTTAAAATATCTTTTATAGGGCCGTCTGGCAATATGTCCGATGACATTGAGTTTGGTCGGACATATGTCCGATGACCTTCAGTTCAGTTTCGACTCGGAAATAAGTGACACAAATGAATATCAGCACAATGTATTAATTCTGGGGCCGGTTGTATAAAAACGTAGTTAGCGCTAACTGCAGTTAAAAAGTAGTTAACTCTTTTTCGTTCGCTGCTGAAATAACCAGGGGCCGTTGTATAAAACTCTTAATCACTTTTTTAATCACTATTTTGTAGTTAAATAGTGATTAACTCTCAAATACGCGCTTTTTATTGGATGACGTTTCCACTAACTATAGTTAACTTTAATCACTTTTTTATACAATCGGCCCCAGAACGGTAAATGTTGTGAAGATATTAAATTATTTGTTTGATTGTTTCTTATACTTATATTTCCAAGCCAAACTGATTAACTTGCTTTCCAGAACAGACTAGAAAGCAAGTTAAAAAAGACTTCGACAACTTAAGCCCGTTTTCCACTTTACCATTTCGCTGGCTGCCCCGCGCTCGACTACGTTAAAACAACATTTCCAGTTCACCTTTTACACAATAGTACTCCGATTTTCCATTTAACATACAAGCCTCTAGTCCTGGGCTAGGGTAAATTTTGATTTACGTTGGACAAAGCTACAGTTCGATCGGACACAAATACACTCGGGTCGGACAAACAATAAACCTCAGTTTCACTTTGGTCGGACAGAATGTCCGGTGGTTTCCTCTCTATACGTCGGACAATTTCACGAATGGGACGAACAATGTCCGTGACCGACCGATATTTTAAGGCCTGTTTGAGTGGAATTTTCAAGTCGTTATAGCGTTGTATAATGTGATATAACAAAGCAGGAAAACTTTGTTAGTGGACGGTTCGCTATAAACGTAAGTAAAAACTGTAATTGTCTCGAACATTTTTGTATATATTATTAATACGTAATAGGATGCTCGTGAAATTGGGATAAAACAAGCACCCGTGAGTATTTCAAAGACCTATTTTGATGCTCTTTGTAAAGCTTACTCTTGCATGTTTTATCCAAATTGCACAATTGTATGAAAACTTCTTCAAAAGCCAATTGGAACATTGCCTTCCCTCGATTCTGATCTAAACGTGTTTACTCCGAATAGTCTCCTGTTAGGACGCTCGACAGCCAAGAATCCTGGAGGATGGCAACTTTCACGTACAGCCAGAGTCCAAAGACGAGATACAGCCTGGTGCAACCAGCCGTACAAGATTTCTGGGAAAAGTGGATACAACTAAAAGCTTATACTCGTGCATGTTTTATCCAAATTGCACAATTGTATGAAAAGTTCTTCAAAAGTTTCTTTAATGCTGGGGTTTCGCCTTCAGTGGCGCAGTCGTCACAGCAAGCGTCTTTCACCTCTGAGATTTTGATTCTTGCTACGGACGCATGTGAAAAAAGTCAGTCAACGCTCTGTCGAAAGTCATGGGTTTTCTCCGGGTGCTCCGGTTTCCCTCCGCAGGAAAAGTTGACAGGGTGGGTTAGGATTAAACACAGTTAGTATAGGTAATAGCATGGTTTCGAGTGCAATTTGGATATAACATGCACGAGTGAGTTTTTCAAAGACCTCAAAATAGCAAGAGTCCGAAGGACGAGTGCTATTTGAGGTCTTTGAAAAACTCACGAGTGCATGTTTATCCAAATTTCACGAGAAACCATGCTATTACTTATTAATAATTTACATAAAAATGTTCGAGACAATTGTAGTTTTAACTTACGCGTTTTATATAGCGAACATTCCACTGGCAAAGTTTTCCTGGCTTGGTTGTATCACATTATACAACGCTAACAGCTTGAAAATTCCACTCAACTATGTATTTTTTGTTAATCTTGTTTAAGGTAAATGCTTTTCCATTTAAAAATAAAGATAAGAGCCATATTTTCCACGCGAAGGCAACTTTTACTTTGTGTAGCGGCGGCGCCATGTTTGTTTTGTTTTGAAGCAACTGTGACCGTTACATCTTTAAACTAAATTGCTTTAAACTGATTGGTTGATTTAATCATCACAATGTTTTTCCACCAATCAGATCAGTTTGTTACAGATTTTTGCACTGTGATTACAGAAAATTGCACTGCTGTTTGGGATTAACTGCAAATCAACCAATCACAGTCGAGTAATATCTTTATGTATATTATTAAGAGGCAATTTTTTTCAATGTCACGTATTTGCGATGAAAAGTGTTCAAAACCTAAAATCATTTTGGCTTTCCTCTCAAAATTACTTTGTTTTACCTTTATTCTCTAGTTTATAGAGTTAACTTAGCTACCTTTTTAAATGCATCTGCCGGTTGAGAAACATAAAATAATAGTTAAAAATTGTCAATTAACATACAATTATCAATGATGTTTTAAAATTGACGCCATATTTACAGTCATATAAGCAAAACTTACTGAACTTCAGACATCATTTTCTCTTTGGCGTATCATCTAAAATCTTGTGCTGAGTGGTTATATTACTACCTTAAAAAATAAGCAGAAACTCGACGTTTCGAGCGAAGGCCCTTCGTCAAAGAGTTATAGTAGCTACTAACTCTTGACGAAGGGCCTTCGCTCGAAACGTCGAGTTTCTGCTTATTTTTTAAGGTAGTAATATAACCACTCAGCACAGCATTTTTACATTGGTACTACCTACACTGGTACAGACAGTTTCATCTAAAATCTCTTCATTTTAGCATTATTTTACAGATAAATAAAGCACTAAACATACTTTCTAAGTTTGTTTGCCGATTGAGAAACGTATCGAAAAATAAAAATTTTGAATTTAGTCATAACCTCGAGTCAGAGCCGCAGAGAGGGGGGGCAGGGGGGGGGGGAATTGCCCCGAGGTGCTGGGGGCCCCTGAAAATTTTTTGTTGGGCCCCAGTCTTTTTTCTGTGTTAAATATTTCCGCGCAAAGGACAACATATCTGTTTTATTGGGCTAAGTACCGAAATTAGGCATAAAAAAATGAGATAAAGTCCCTGGAAAGTGTGTGCAATCTACTCGTCCGGAAAATTTTTTGACCCCTAAAATGGTACACTGACCGAAAATTTTTGGGAGAGGGAGGTTGTCCGGAAAAAATTTTTCCGGAAAATTTTTTTTCAAAAAGGGGGCCCCCACAAAAAATTTGCCCCGGGCCCCCGCCAACCTCTCTGCGGCACTGCCTCGAGTGATATATTATACGCATTAGTTTTGAGCCCGTGTTACGTAACATACAAAAAAAATCTCTTAAGAAAGTAATATCACAATTGTTGTAAAAATAAAATAGTATAGTCTAAGTATCTAATCAGGCAAACGTAATTCTTGATGTAAAGCGCATTTGATCATAAAAACATGTAAATTTGCGCAATGGAAATCTCTAATAATGTGTTGATGCTCGGTTCGAATTAAAATATATAGTATTGCTTCGTTAAAACTAGAATCCTAAAACTCCAAAATCGATGGCAAAAAATACCAAGAGTACATTACTTGGGAATGACCAAATCTTCCCATGGGTTTTATTCCGTTAATGGTTGGAAGATGCCATTTCCTATCTTCTAGATTGAAACACCACACATCTGAAAACCTATAAAAAAAATACGATATACCTTTTTACTGATTATATTGTCTTCGCCAGCTTGGCATCAAGCCTTATGACCTCAGGCCTGTTTTAAGCCTGTTCTAAACGTCGCCTTTTACATGCGCCGAATGCATTCAAAACAATGGATAATGAGGCATTTCAGCTGATTATCTATTGCTTTGATTCGGCACATGTAAAATGCGACGTTTACAACAGGCCTTATACGTCGAATTTTGGTCGCGTCGAATGCAATTAAGACAATAGATAATGAGATGATAAACCTCATTAAGCTTCATTATCTAATTGTTTGAATTGCACTCGACGCGACCGAAATTCGTCGTATAAAACAGGTGTTGTGGACGGGGCCGTAAGGTTTTAGAATTTGTACGGTCACTTGAAAGATGGCTGAATATCAAATTGACGCCTTTCGGATAGAAATTTCTAAAAATCTGTACATTGTACATGATGGCTTTAGTTGGTAAAATAATGCAGGTACAGTAAAACCCCGCATATAAGAACCTAGAATTTAAGAACCTGTTAGGCTAAAATATTTTATTTAGATCCCCTTTAAATAAGAACCTGTTCAGGCTAGAATTTCAAAACAGATTCTTATATTATTAAATAGAGTCAAAATTAAGTCATAAGTTACAATCAGTGTAGCTTTAAAGTGCATATAGAGTTGGTATAGTGCATATACTGTCACTTTTTAGATCATTTATGCATAATTTATATAAATCATATACCATACCTCCCTAAAATGAGTCACTTTTCTCTTAAGAAAATAAGAACCTATTTATAAGAACCTGTTTAGCCTAATTTCCTGGTAAGCCCCATTTACATGATTTAATGCTTTAATAATAATCCACCTTAAGTAAAAAAATACAGTGGACTTACAAATTCATAAACATTATAAAACCATGCTCTATATTACAATAAAAAATTATATTTTTAAAAAGGTTCAGTTGCCAAAGGCACAGACGACGATTATGTCCTTCAGTTCAGAGAATAATGCAATTAACCTACACTCAGCCTAAAATTACAGAACCGTCTATTACAGTAGTAATTTAAAGTTTATTATTAAAAAGCACCAAATTGCACGAGGCATAAACGATGATTTATGTCTTTCGGTTCTGGAAATAATGCGATCTACATTAGAACCTCTTTCTTTAGTTCTAGTGGAATAGTCATGCTTCTGTGCGATAGGGACAAGGTGGTGACAGGGATGGTTTACGTCCTGAGTAATTGCCTCAATTGCTCGAAGAGTTAGCTTATCTCTTCTCTCACTAAGCGGGGGAAGTGTATCTCTTCTCTCACTAAGCGGGGGAAGTGTATCTCTTCTCTCACTAAGCGGGGGAAGTGTATCGGTAAACCAATAATACGTAAGCTTCTCCTTTGAATACACTCAAGGTCGTTCACTAAATAGTGAGGTAGGCCACCCCAAACTGGTGCGGCATATTCAAGCAATGGACTAATTTTGGTGCAGTAAGTTGCCAATCCTACTTCAGTAGGAAGGTGAGCCTTCCTGCACTGCCTTAGATGACACAGTCTCCTGTTTCCCTTACGGGTAATTTCTTTAATGTGAGAATTCCATTTCATGTTACTTTGACAGCTAACACCAAGTAACTTGAATGAATTAACTCTTTCGATCATAACATCCCCGATATAAAGATTGGGAGGCTGTGGGATAGATTTCCCAAAGCAAATCCACATATCTTTCGTTTTCTTTGCATTCAACTTCATTCTATTAGCGTTTGACCAGTTCTGAACGGAGTCTAAGAACATGTTTAGGCTAACTTGGAAAATCTAGGTTCTTATATATGCGGGGTTTTACTGTATCGATTATCATGGGTTGAAGAAGTATCGGAGCAAGATAATTGTAAAAATATAGATAAAAGCAGAAATTGAGAGGAAAAATTCTTACGAATAGAAATAATGTTACCTGTACTGTAAGTTGACCTCTGAATTATATAAGTACATCCATGTTAATAACGCGAGAGTGTATAAATGTCCCCTGGTAGTGCCCCCTAGGTAGTGCCCTCCAGTACTTAGTGCCCTTTTTTGCATCTGTAATTACTTTAGGATCAGACCCCTGATGCATGTAATTAATATCTAAAATGTAATATTCCTAACAGTATTATTAAGATTCTCATTGCACTGAAACACTTTAAAAATGGCTTGCGCACAAAAATGGAAGGCTTAAACGCAATTTGAATTCATAGGGTGCAAATTTAAAAGGGGTTTTATATGAACTATCAAAATATTAGACAATTTGATATACATTAAGTACAACGCGCGCAGTGGTGGAAATCTTGGTGGAACGGGTAGACCCCCCCCCCACCTTCACGGAAAATTGACCTAAAAGAGGGCTAAAAACAGTCTTTTCGAGTGCAAATGGGGAGATTTGCACTCGAAAAGACTGTTTTTAGCCCTCTTTTAGGCCAATTTTGCTACACACAGTACTCTCTTGCAATTTTGCATATTATTATTGTATATTTTTGTGGCTTGCGATCACAGATAATATTATTTTATTTGTATGAAAGATTAACATTGTGGTGTTAACCCAATGAGTTGCATTGCACCATACTTTAATATTATTTTACTCTGTCTAATTCCAGAAACTGTTTTACCATTAAGGAGAGAGCAAATCTCCCTTGCACTCGAAAGTGAATTTCCACTACTGAACGCGCGACCAGTGCATAAAGCTTGCATAAAGTTTTCACAAATTTTGCGGAATTTGCAGTTTGGCGGACATTTTCGAACTGTGAAGTTTGTATAGATAACTACTGCATTCACAGACTTACAGTATCTGTATGGCAATATTTTGATAGTTAGTTTAGCAATCCACAAAACTTGTCCTATAAACACTCAAATAATATTTAATATTACTAAAAGTATTATTAGTATTCTCAGTACACTGAATTTTTTCCTGTTAAAATGTAGCATGATATTGAGTTTGACAACTTGTTAATGCCACACACTGAGACAGTTGTATCTACACAGTGTATCCAAGTGTTGATTTACTTATTATTCACCAAAAAGTTTCAATGTTCTCTTGCAGTCCCAGAAAGTAAAATATTTTTCACACCTGGGAATCATGCACAATACGTGTTTATATTTTACAATCTAATATCTTCTGTTTCCAATATTTTGGCCATTGTGTAAGATCTTTTATTATTGGAAGCAATTCCAATAAAATAGCTAGTTTATTTGCTTAACCCATTGAGTGCAAGCGCTCTCTCCTTAATGGTAAAATAGTTTCTGGCATTAGACAGAGTAGAATAATATTAAAGTATGGTGCAATACAACTCATTGGGTTAACACCACAATGTAAATCTATCATACAAATAAAATAACATTATCTGTGATTGCAAGCCACAAAAATATACAGTAATAATATGCAAAATTGCAAGAGAGTATGTCTTTTAAGTCATGGATCCACAGAGATTCACTGCTGCATGTGTTAACCCATTCAGTGGCAACTGATTGTAGAAGGCTTTTATAGATGGAAATATCGAGCGAGAATTTTATACATTTAATAATGTCTACAACTATTAAATATACATCTAATAAATGTAGAAAATTGACAGCATGCCTGTAGAAAGTTATGGAGCGACGCTACCTCCAAAGTCTAAAGGGCTAACTCCAAACCAAAATATACACTTAAGTAACTTGATTAATTCAAAATGGAGTTGAAATATCAATTGTGGAATTACTGGCTAACTCCAAAAATTATTTGAAGCTATATACAGGGTGTCTAAAAAAAACGCTACGGGATTTCAACAGGCTGTTGTGCATCATAAACGTAGCTAAACAGTTCGATTTTTACATAGGAAGAAAGAGCTGTTATTTAGCTTTTCTATGACACCTTTTTGAAATCGTAACGATGAGAAATGGCTACACACTCGTCAAATAAAAATTGTCGGTCGAAATCACATTCTTCCACCGTTGGGAATTGGATGCAATTCCCAACGGTGGAAGAATGTGATTTCGACCGGCAAGTTTTATTTGACGAGTATGTGGCCATTTCTCATCGTTACGACTTAAAAAGAGTATCATTGAAAAGCTAAATAACTGTTCTTTCGTCCTATGTAAAAATTGAATTGTTTATAGCCACGTTTATGATGCACGACAGCCTGCTTAATTTCCGTAGCATTTTTTTGAGACACCCTGTATAACTCCAAAAATCAATTAGGAGCTAAGTAACTAAGCCTGGAGTTACTGGCTAACTCTAAAAACCATTTGAAGCTAGGTATTAACTCTGAAAAGCATGAAAAAGCTATGTAGTGTACAGTAGGCATCTAAGCCTTGAGTTATGGGCTAACAGCCTAACTCCAAAGTGTGTGTGTTGCGAGGCGAGCCAGCCTAGCCGCTACGTATGTAAGCAGGAAGTTACTTGCTGTGTTGTTGCTAACTAAAAAAATATGGAGCTAGTATCTAGCGGCACACTTGGCATTTTGTTCTCGTTCAGAGGCTAAATTTTGATTCTGCAGCAGCGCAAACCATTCTCGTATCTGTTAACAGTGTGTAAGATAGGCTCTGGATAGGAGAATGTATATTTATATTAGGATGTTAGGGTTTGTAATCCAAGTGAGAATATATACATTTTAAGACCTAACCAGGAACGACTGCGGAAAATGCAGCACAAGGTCCTCTGGTAGGAATTGAACCTACGGCCCTGCGATTCCGGTGCAGCGCTTTAACCAACTGAGCTACAGAGGCCAGCTGTTGACCTGTAACCGTAAGTTCATGTATATACTAGGTAATCAGGTGTGTGGGTTGTGATAAGGTAGCCTAGCTCCATTTGAAGATTTCTACTCCACAAAACTGCGGCCATCTCACCCAATATAACTACTTGTTGAAGGAATATGTAGATGGAAACTTTGAGTGGAATTTTTATACATTTATTGGACCTACTGTAACCATGAGCAGTTGCAAAAAATGCAACTTATAGGGCCTCTGGCAGGAATCGAACCTGCGACCATGTGATTCCAGTGCAGTGCTCTCAGATCAGTGCCTGTAGTTACAACTGCTCCCCAGGGCCGTAGCGAGCGGGGGGGAGGGGGTGTAACACCCCCCCTGATGACTGCTCATATGAGCAATTTCAGGTAAATTCAGGTAGATTTGCAGAAGAATTTCAGGTAAATCAACGCAAATTCAGGTAATTCCTAGCACCAGAGAAAGTTAATTTACGAAAAAACTCTCAATTTGGGAAAAAAATAAGGTAATCCCGTATATTTACAAAAATTTTAGAAAATCCAAGAATTTTTAAGAATTTTAGAAAAATTTCTTTGATAAACGCAGATAAATTTGTGATATCCGAAAAAATTTTAACGTCGCGAAAAATTTGGATATGTCCGGGAAAATTTTTTCACCCCTAAAATGGTACACTGACCGAAAAATTTTTGGCGTCGCGGGGCGGTGGGGTGGGGGGGGGCGTCGAAAATAATTTTCAGGTAAAATTTTAAAATTTGATGCTTTCAGGTAGATTTAACCAAACACGGGGGGCCGTGGATCGAGTTCCTCGCGACAGCACTGCTGCTCCTGGTCACGTCTAATAAATGTATAGAATTCTCACTCAAAATTTCCATCTACTGTACAAAAACCTTCTACATTTTTATACAATCCACTCCATTCTTTTAAAATTCAAAAATTTTCTGATGCTCTCTAGCTGGACACCTGATTAGCATGTTTGATGCTGGCTCGCAACTAGAAAATTTGTCTCCGATTGCTCAGCAGCCGTCCAGGCTGTACTATAGTATACGTCTATTGCTTCAAAAACTGCAAACATTTCTGAGACTGGTTCTAGAAATACCATGTTTTCAAAATTGGAAAATCAACAAAATTGTACATTGAATTTTGCCAAAATCATCAAACTGCTTCTAAATTCATGATCTTCCGAATACCTGAGGGGACCTATGTAACAGGTGAATAAACAAGAAATTTAAAGTGAAAGTCAAGTCCATTCTGCGCATCGGTTCTGCTCATAACAATGTGAGGACCTCTGAATGTAAACATTGCCCAAATTTCGAATGTTTCGAATTTTTCTGAACATAAACTCTATTTCATATTCATTTAGAAGCATAGCAAACCAAAATGGTGTTAGATATTCAGACAGTACATCATATTTTTAAAACATACAGCAGTTCAAAATGTAAACAAACCAATTGTTTACATACGGACTTGACTTCCACTTTAAACATAATTGTATGGCAAAGAGAAAACTTGAAATGTATTTGTGTTGACTCTGAAATTCGAACCCACAATGAACGCCCATAGTTAACTAGGCTGATAATCATGACGTATAATAATTGTAGTTTCTGTTGTATACTACAGAAAAACTTGGCTGGTAGTCGTATTGCATTGTAGCTGGTAGCCATATTGCATTGTGGTATTGTATATTTGGGCGCTTTCCATTTAATGGCCTGACCGGTCAGACTCAAATTGTTTTTTCTGTATCATATGGGAAGATCTGGTCTATGTTTCTCAAATATCTATCGAAAATGGACCTCATTCAAATGTTATCTAAATTTTCCGGTCAGATAGGTCCGAAGCTCAAATGTTTGTGTTCCATTCAACAATTTGACCGTTTTGGCCATGTTAATGGAAAGTGGCCTTTGTATTGCAGTTAAATAAGCAGTAATTAGTATGCAGTAAATATGCAGTTATTTATGCTAATAATAAACAAGTAATCATGCGATGTTGCTCGGACAATTAGGGATTAATAGTACTTGTGATGTTTGGAAATTTGCCAAATTTCCAAACATCACTCGTAGTCGTATTTCTATTAATTCCTAGACCCTAATTGTACCGTACTGGCCATCGCATGATTACCTATAATAATTTAAATAATCTCAGTTGGTAGCCGTGCTGTATTGGTAGTATAGTACAGTATACTGCAGACAGGCTTGGCTGGGAGCCGTATTGCATTGTATTTCTGTATTAAATTAAGGAGTATATACAGCTTGGCTGATACTGAACCCTTGGCTGTTGCCCAGTTGTAGTTATGTACAGTAGTACTGAATACTTCAGTGTTAATACAGCAGATAACACTGACAATTTCAATACAATAGTGTATATATTTATGCATATATATATATATATATATATATATATATATATATATATATATGCATAAATATATACACTATTGTATTGAAATTGTCAGTGTTATCTGCTGTATTAACACTGAAGTATTCAGTACTACTGTACATAACTACAACTGGGCAACAGCCAAGGGTACAGTATCAGCCAAGCTGTATATACTCCTTAATTTAATACATTAATTTAAGCTGTATATACTCCTTAATTTAATATATATATATATATATATATATATATATATATATATATATATATATATATATATATATATATATACATATATATATATACATACATATATATATATATATATATATATATATATATATATATATATATATATATATATATATATATATATATATATATATATATATATATATATATATATATATATATATATATATATATATATATATATATATATATATATATAATACAAGCTGTATATACTCTTTAATTTAATATATATATATTTACTGATGAAACAGACTGTTGCTGAATTTTGAGGTAAGCGAAATTCTACATTTGCTCTATTTTTATGATATTGAGCACTCTTTGCATTTCGTATTCATAAACCTACTCGTATATATATATATATATATATATATATATATATATATATATATATATATATATATATATATATATATATATATATATATATATATACAATTAATTAATATATATTGCATGTAAGGCCACATAAAATAAATTCCTTGATTCTCATCACCGCCCGACTGTATTTTAAGAGCCACGTGAAATGTTTTTATATTTTGTTATACAATATAAATGTACCGCCCGACAAAATATTTCAAGACAGTTAAGTTTTTTATATTTTATATTGGGTTTTTAGTGCCATTTTAAACTGTCAATTTCAAACAAATAATAATAATAATAATAATAAATATATTTTGCCCTTTTTGAAAAAAAAAATACAGTTATCAAAAATTAGTTCTTAAATAATAAATAGAATAATAAATATAAATAGTTAATACACTGTTTAACGGGTATTGGGCCTGGTAACTAAATTAACCGTGAGGTTTTCTAGTTAGTTACCAGCCTAATGATTTTAAATTTTAATTAGAGATGAAAGATAATTTGTTTGACAGAGCCAAATAAAATGAGATTAAAGCGCATATTAATTAACATGGCTTCAATTTGTCTCAAATTGTTTTTTTAATAAATATTTTTTTACCCATTTTGAAAAACAAAAAACATTTAGGTGTTTAAGTTGTTTAGGAAGTTCTTTCCAGAGGTCAATAAATGCAAGGGAAGTCATTTGTTTACCATAGTTTGTTCTAACACGTTTTTTGTGTAAGTTTTGCTTAGATGAATATCTGGTGTTGTAGGTATGTACGTCACTAGTATATTGAAATAAACTGTCAAATATGCGTGGCAGTTGGCCTTTGTGCCATAGATGAGTGAATTTTAAAGCACTGAGTCGATAAAGGTTATCAACACTGAGAATTTCTAACATATTTAAATATGGAAGAGCACTCTTTGTGAGTGGTCCGTGTGTTGTAGCAAAGAACATAATCCTCATAACTTGATTTTGCTTTGTTTGTAACTTTTTTAAGTTAATATGAGGGTATATGATATTATAATAGAGTTGTTTGAGCTGAGTAATTGATAAGTAATGTCTTAACTTTGAGAAGATACCAATACCACGAGATACACGAGAAGTGTTATTTTCTGCCGGCTGAGGAACGAAAGAGGCAGAAAATGTTTTTCTCACACACTGCTGGGGGACTGGATCAAGGGTGGGGTCCAGGTCACCGAATCACTTTTTTGCTTGCCTGTGCTAGCCTGACCTGTGTTGTTTTTGTCTTGAGTGAAAACTGCGAAATTTGTC